GGCCCAGTGGCCTTTTTCTTGCCCAAATCAGAAACCGAAAGTTATACTTTAGCCCCTGATCTCTGGAGTAGTTTCATTACGGCCCAGAACATTTTAAATCTCTTTCACTTAGGTCCTTAAATTAATTGCACTTTGGTCCTTGAATTTTATCTTTCATTAATTTTGACCCCTAAACTTTGGAAAAATATAATTTTGTCCCCTAAAAGTTTTCAATTTTTGCAATTCAGTCCTTAGCAAATTTTGGCTCTCTTTATTATGATTGTTTCTTTTTTAACTAATTATGTTACTTTTGAACATGTTCAACTTGTAATTTTAGATGTTTTAAATTTCTTTATGTTTGACATATTAGTGTGAATTTAGTACTTTTATTATTATTATTATTTTCAATTAAAGTGGTGCCATAATTCTTTTGTTCATTGTGAGTATAAATAGGACAATTTGACTCCATTTAGTCACCACTTCAAACGGGAGGTACCCCTATTTTTATTATTTCAATGTCAATTACGTGCTCTTATGTGCTTCTATGTGTTCCTATGTGTTTATGTATTTTTATATGCTTTATTTATTTGATTCAAATATTCATTCAAATTTTCTTATATACGTTTTAGTTAATTTTTATAATGATTCGAGAGGTATTTAAATACCTCAAAAATGTAATAGATAGGATAATTAGATTTGTTTTATTATATTTTTCCCTCCTAGATTGTAGTCAGGCGCTCCCCGATGTAATAGATAAGTTGTGTTTATGTGGCTTATGTGTTATGTGTTTTATCCGCTTTTCTTAGGACTTTGGCATATAGATATTATGCTTACGTGTTATGTGTTACGTGCTCTTATGTGTTTATTTGTTTTAATTTATGCTTTATTTGCTTCACTATATATTGTTAATGCATAACGTCACCACACTAGTCCAACGCTAGTTGTGGCTTCTCCCTCCGCTTACTTGCTAGTCCAACGCTAGTAAGTATTTTTAGAAATGGGTTAGTCCAACGCTATACCCTTAGATTGTTCATGCATTAGATTCATCTTTTGTGTGATATCCATTACATTTTCAGGTATATTTTATTTTTTAGAATTTTCTCATTTGCATGATATTTTCTATTATATTATCCCCTACCCTCTACCCTCTATATGTGTTAATCAAATCATTTAGAATTGCACTTCATTTAAGAAATTGTGAAATAAGTTAGTTCATTTGCTTGTTCATATTAGGAGAATTATTTTTGAACATGGATATGGGTGATTATAACTCTTTAGTTTAAATACCCCATTAATCCTTGTATAAGAAAATCATGTCACGAGTTTTTGTCTCCCGTACCCATTATACTGCATTTCCTTTTTCTTTGATCACTTATATCTATGTATATAATTTAATTTCTTTTCTTTACTTTCAATTTCATCATTTGCATACTCTTGACCCCTTCAAGGAATTATTTTGGTCTTCGCAAATCAATGCGATTGATATCAATTAAACCCTTGAATGGATATTTTGTCTCATTCGATATTTTATTTTAGATTTGCATCCATATAGAAAATATCCAAATGTGATAAATTTAAGGGTTAGATTAGAAAAATTTTGACTAAATCTCGCAACTAGCTTAGACTAGGTTGAAAGGGTGCCTTAGGTTTGAGTTGATTGAACCTTTGCCTTCCTTTTCTTCAACCGTGACTCCCGAACTCATTTTCTCTGTTTCAAAGACCTGGAGTTGTCAAAAAGGGTTTTATTTTATTTCTATTCAAAAAAAAAACATTTTTTTTGGTGACTTGGTACACCCAAATTCAATACCAAGTGGCGACTCCTATTTTTTCTTAAAAACCCTTTTTAGACTATTTTTTGGACCCAAACTGTCGCATTTTTTAAAAGTCCCATTAGGTCCTTTTTCATTTATTATTAATAAATCACATCTTTTTATAAACACCTTTCTTCTCTTTTCTTTTTCCATCGCGAAAAATGGGGCGCGACAGGTACGACCATTGACTGCTTCTCTAACCAGATAACAACCCTAGGTACGACCGTAGGAATTTAATTACCCAATTGCATTAAAGCTAGAAGAACCCAACCCTAACCAATAAACACGCTAAGAAGGTTTATTTAAATTAGATCTTGCGTTTCCCCATCATAAAGCCAATTATGGTGGTTACCACGGGGCGCTAACTAAATGAACAATTACGGATTCTATTTAATTAATGTGGCAGTAGGCTATTAAATTAAATCAAATACCCGGCCGTTGATATTCAATTAATCAAATACCCATGAACAATTAATTCAGGAAACGCACGAATAGCAATTAATTGGAGGAAATAATGAAGATTCGGTTAGATCTCACAGATATTATGGACCGCGCCTTCGCGTCAACCTTTGGGTAGAGGAGGAAATTAGCCGCTCCTCATCGTGTCAATCCCGCGTGATTTAGTTGAGTACATTCAATTGATTTCCGAAGAATTGGAAAAACACAAGAGGAATCTCACGGAATTTAGAAGAGTCAAAAGCAAACAGTGAAAAAGGGTTTCCGTTGTACAGAGCCCAGATGCAATCCGCAGAAATATTCAATGCCTGGCCGCTAGCCGCAGGCGAAACAAAAGTAAAAGAAAGAAACAGGAGAAAGTGTCTGACCCTCACTTTCTTTTGGGAAAAGTAAAACTAAAACTAAGAAAAAGATCATCTCAATCTTGCTTTGTCCTTTTCTTTTTATAGCCGCCGTCCAAGAAGAGTCAAAGAAGGAAACGTCTGGTGCAAAGCCTAGTGTTGTCTCCAGAGTTCTGATCCCACGCTCCGGGTTCACGTGGACCACGGTCCGTCTTTCGGTTTCGTCCACCTTCCAAGGCGTGGCCACGCCTTGGAACGGTAAGTCTTCTGGAAATTCACCCCGCGAGATCATTTTTAATGCCGATCACCTATAATTCATACCAATGTGAAATATGAGTTAGACCTCAGTACTTAGCACAGTAAATATCTGAAGTTAGGCCGAAATAACACTGCAAAATGTGCCAAATAACTGTTCTATCAAATCCCCCCACACCTAGACAATGCTTGCCCTCAAGCATTTCGGAGCTCAGAAGTACAACCAAGAGAGCAGAGGTCATATAATAGTCTATACTAACACAAGCATCTAGGGTCCCTGACAATATCACCAAAAGTAGAACACACCGGACATGTTGTAATTCAAAGAGTATATACGAATACTAGGAACGCTCAATTCAACATCACGGAATGCCATTACCATAGGCTTGCACATTTATCACATCTCCACCCTTTAAAAGTGAACTAAACACATAAATCAAAGGGACTTTGATAGGGTTGTAACGGGGCTCAGGTGAAAGGCGGGCCAAGAAGGTATGGATAGGGGGTAAAGTGTCAAGAGAATGTGCGAAACTCACCAATAACCACAGTGCTCTACTGGAGGAGTTTCACTAACAAGGCAGTTTCCACTTGCTGTACACCCTGTACAAGTGCCCCAAATTTTTTTTTTTTTTTTTTTTAGTCGGCTCGCAAGGCGTGGGCACGCCTTGTAGCCCATAGTCCTCTGGTCACAAGGTCTCTTCATGAAATTTTTTTTTTTTTTCAAGAGACAGTCCTGTAAGGCGTGGGCACGCCCTGTAAGCCGAAGTCCTCTGGTCAGTGACCTTTTCCAATTTCCCCTCCTTTACACAAAGATAGCATCATATAGCTCCTAATCTAACAGCACTTTCAACCCCAAAGTCGTTTGCTTTGCACAAATGGTGGATTTCAGACATCCCTTGACAACACAGGGATAAAAAAAAGAAAGTTTAAAGAGGTCTCGGGTTAACAAACACGGATATCAACCAGAAACGAAGGACAGAAGCTCAAGTTGGTTCGCTATTGGGATATAAAATGAGGGCTTGATTTTTTAGATAGCGGAAGAGGGTTAAATCCTAAATGCCCTTATCATTTCAAATGCACTCAGTTCATCAAAATGCGGTCTTGACATGTACAAAATAGCAAGTTCTAGAATGTTCATACCATGTGCGATACCCACTTAATCAAACAAAATAGAGCGAACAAGAATAAAATGCTCAAGTAAGGCTCAAAAGCTCCCCAAGAGTTACAAAAATGGGTGAATTCCAGTATACTCAACATTCGATGACATTGCCAAGGGAAACAAAATGCACGGCTAGCATATACGACCACATACCCACTCACTTTGATTATGTCATTCATCACAGCAACATGCCCCAACACTAACAAGCATAAAAATAACCAAAAAGGCGACTAACTACAATGTTTTTTCATTTTTTCCATTTTTTCTGTCGTCTTTTTTTCTTTTTTCTTTTTTTTTAAGTAACAAAGCAAAAAGAAAGAACTAATGAAAAAGAAAGTAATGGAAACCACTCCCCCCACACCTAAAACCTACATTGTCCTCAATGTAACCTAGAAAAATAAATTGCAAGGGCAGAGGGAGCGAAAACTTCCCTGACTACTGAAAAGGTGCGCCCGGAGCCTAAGGAGGCGGCGGATGCGCCGGCTGGAAGCCAATATGAGCATAGTAAGCTGCTTGATTCTCTGCCTGAATGCGGGCGAAAACCTGGAGCGCCATAAGCCGGCCATCTATTCTTGCCAGTTGGGTGTTGAGTTCATGAAGACCCACTTGGAGGTCCGGGTAGCGGGGGTCTCCAGCAGGGGGAGGATGAGAGGAGGACGGACCCGCCTGGTCCGGATGGGGCGGCGAGTCAGTGGAGGGTGCAGTGTTAGGCACCCGAGGCCGCGGCCCGCCCTCACCAGGAGGCGTAAACTGATAAACATCGTCCACTTTGAAAATAACCCTCAAACGAAATTTTTTTTTTCTTTTCATTCGCAGGAGAGATAATCACCAAGAAGAAAGAAAGAAAATGAACAACTAGAAATAAAACCAAAAACTAAAGAAAACTAAAAACACTAGCACCCCATTAGGCCCCCCACACCTATAGGACACATTGTCGTCAATGTGACAAATAACCAACAAGAGTGGGTGAGAGGACAGCAACACTTCCCTGAAATCCGGTCAAAGAGGTGGACGAGGCGCAGCTGGAGGAGGAAAACCAGTATGATGCAGAAATTGCGCCAAATTCTGTGCTATGCCAGCTACATTGGCATCAACGTTGACCATGCGAGCCTCCAAAGCCCGAACCTGGAAAATTAAGAAGAGAGGAAGAAATGAGCTGAAATCGCGTTTCTGACGCTTTTATTGGGACACAGAAAACGCGATTTAAAACGCGCCTTAAACTCGCGTTTTCTGAGTCGCGTTTCCTTCACAAATCTTGCAGGAATTAAAACGCGACTGGAAACGCGCCTTCAACTCGCGTTTTCTAAGTCGCGTTTCCTGCAGAAATCTTGCAGGAATGAAAACGCGACTGTGTAGGTAAACGTGACTCTGAGTCGCGTTTACGATGTCGCTCTCTCTCTTTTTTTTTTTTTTTTTTTTTTTGCAAGGCGTGAGCACGCCTTGTAACCCCTACTCTTCTGTCCAACACCACAAAAGCAACCAAAACATTAAGATAAAACTGAAAAATCATAAAGTAAGGAAAAATGATCACAACTAATATTGTAATCCTTGGGTTGCCTCCCAAGCAGCGCATTTCTTTAATGTCTTTGGCTAGACATAGCACCACTCTTTAGTCTGAATGTAATTGAATTTTTCTTATAATTGGTGGCCCTCCTCCAGGATCCACATGGCCATTGAGTGCAACTTTTTTCCTAAATTTTCTCTCCATTTTTACCTCATGAATTGCTTTCATCCTATAGGACTTGTTCGCAGCAACCTTGAATTTACCCCTATAAGCAAACTTAGAAAATTCTTGCACAGAGGGATTAGAGGTATACATAGCAAACACAGAATGAGAGTTAACAGGATGTTTCATTGTATCAAAAATATTAAAGTGGACTATTTCTCCATCAAATTCCATCGTGAGAGTACCCTTACTAACATCAATTTTAGTTTGGGCAGTACTAAAAAATGGTCTTCCTAATATAATGGGTGATGGATTTGGGGTACTTCTATCATCCATGTAAAGCACATAAAAATCAGCATGAAAAATTAATCCATCTACTTGCACTAAAACATCCTCAACTATCCCATCCGGATAAGCACATGTACGATCAGCCAATTGAATTATTATCCCCGTTTCTTTTAAAGGTCCTAAATTTAGGGAATCATAGATTGACTTAGGCATCACATTAATAGAAGCTCCTAAATCTATCATGGCATTTTTTATACTAGAATGACCAATCTTACAGGGGATAGCAAACATACTTGGATCTCCGCATTTGGGTGGGAGTTTCCTTTGTAGTACAGCTGATACATTCTCTCCTACCATCACTCTTTCATCACCCCTTAGCTTTCTTTTGTTAACGCACAAGTCTTTCAAGAACTTTGCGTACTTGGGTACCTGTTTGATCGCGTCCAATAGGGGGATGTTTACTTGAATTTTGCGGAACACATCCAGGATTTCTTTTTCCTTTTCTGCCCTCTTTGTCTTTTCCAACCTGCAAGGAAAAGGAGCTATATTAGATTTAATAGGGATCGAAGGAATAGACGTTACCTTAGCCTCTTCGCGAATGCGCCCTTCCTCTTCAATCTCCTTTTTTATCTCCTCCTCACTTTTGCTTTTCGAATTTATCAATTTAGGTCCATCCACCTCTTTGCCACTCCTTAATGTCATGGCACTTACATTTCTGGGATTTACTTCAGGTTGTGAGGGTAACTTTCCATAAGCGTAGGACTCCAAGCGATTGATGGCAGTTGCCATTTGGCTTATTCGAGCCTCCATATCCTTCATGCCTGCTTTTGTGTCCTGCTGGAACTGAGTGGTGCTCATGGTTAAGGCTCTAGTTTCTTGCTGGAGTTGAGCCATATTTGTGGTCAATGACCTGGTCTCTTGCTGGAGCTGGGCGGTAGTCGTAGCCAGACTCTTGACAATATCCTCCAAGAAACTTCCCGAGTTGGAGGATGAGGGTTGCGGTTTTGATTGCCATGGTTGCTGAAATCCTGGTGGACGATTGGAGAATGCATTTTGTGGCCTATTTCCATAGCTGAAATTGGGATGATCTCTCCAACCCGGATTGTACGTGTTGGAGTATGGATCGTATTGCCTATGAGGCGCGGGCACGCCTCCAGCCATGTTCACTTGTTCAGCCCCATTCTCTTGCAATATAGGGCATGAGTCAGTAGGGTGACCCATATTTGTACAGATTCCACAGGCCTTTACTTGGGGCACATTCCCCACAGCTAATTGTCGAACAACGGATGTGAGCTCCGACAACTGTTGCTGAATAGATGTCGACTCCACCTCATTAACCCTGCGGGTAGGGTTACTCTCACGGAAGCCAAACTGTTGAGAATTCTCTGCCATAGCTTCAATGAGCAGTCATGCTTCCCTAGGGGTCTTATTTGCCAGTGCTCCCCCACTCGCAGCGTCGATGATACTCCTATCAGTTGATTGGAGTCCTTCATAGAAATATTGGATTAACAGTTGTTCACTAATTTGATGCTGTGGGCATCTAGTGCACAACTTGTTAAACCTTTCCCAATAGTCATACAAGGACTCCCCGGGATACTGTTTAATGCTGCAGATTTCCTTCCTCAAACTCGCAGCCCGGGATGCAGGGAAGAATTTCTCCAAAAACTTCTTTTTCAACTGTGCCCATGTGGTAATGCTACCTACTGGTAGGTAATACAGCCAATCTTTAGCTGCATCCTTGAGAGAGAACGGAAAGGCTCTCAGTCTAATTTGCTCTTCAGTGACCCCAGGAGGTTTCATACTAGAGCAAACCACCTCGAACTCCTTAACGTGCTTGTGGGGTTCTTCACCAGAGAGACCATAGAAAGAAGGTAAGAGGTGAATCAGCCCCGACTTCAGTTCGAAAGCAGTATTCTCAGCCAGAGTGGGGAATGTGATGCATAAGGGCTGGTGAGTCAGCTTCGGGGCAGCCAGCTCCCTTAATGTTTGAGTGTTGGCCATGCTTACTTCGTCTTCTACCGATTCGTTTGCAATAAATAAGGGCCCTTCTTTTCGCTTCTTGGTCTCTTGCCTCCGCCTACGCGCTGCCTTCTCAACCTCAGGATCGTATACTAATTCACTTGTGCGAGAAGAACGGGTGGAATTAGGGGTTGCCTTTTATACCTTTGGAAAGTTGGGAATGTCTAGTTTCAAATGCCACTGACGACACTTGATTTCAACATCGGAGCACAGAGTTATGGACGAAACAAGAAGGCTGTCTGAGCATTACGGGAAAATTTTTCCAAGTTTGCTAACTTTGTGAGATTTATCCATTTGACCAACCAAACCTCAATATTTTTCGATGAAACTTTATACACCATCTACACAACATATAAACATCATATACAAGCCATTAAAACCTCAAAATTCCGTAAAAAGATGCACAATCATAACAGGGGCAGAATTGGAAACTTTACATCTATGCATTCCTTGAAGTTTATACTAGCTATGCACCACTAATCTACCAATTTGAGCACTAAACCAATATTAAATCCATTATCAAGCATCATATCAGCCATCAACCCAAGAGTGGGAGTTCATAGAGCCCACATTCAAAATTTTCTAACAATAACAAGCCACCCACATGGATATCTAAGCTCATAAGTGTAAATCAACTTCCATAGGCCAAGAATTTGAGAATTGATCGCCATTTACTTGTGTTGGTGAACAAGACAGAATTTTCGGCCTTCCTTACTGCAAAATGAACCGTGAAAAGCTCCCCCTTTTTAGCTAGATACAATCCCCAAGTGTTCAACTAGGTGTAGTTCAATTTTGGTTTGATTTGTGACAGGTGCCGAACCTGCACAATAATAAATACCTACTCAAGAAAATTACAAATTTTGTATATAGCGGTGAGTAGGATCGAATCCACAGGGAGCAGGTAGGAAATTATTTCTTTCCAAATCCGTAGAACAGAATTGGGGGATTTTCAATGGGAGGCACACAAATAAAATAAAATAAAACAAACAAAATTCAAAACTAACTCACAAAGCACAATTCAATAAAAATAGCAATTAACAAAAGTTCTACCCAAAGGATCAACTGCTCAGGCACGGTCCAATTAAATGCTCATCGATGCAAAGATATTTCACCCATTTATCACTAGGTTGGTTATAGCCATCAATAAGCTCTGACAACCAGCTCTTCCTTACTTTTTCGACAGTCAAGGTACGACCATTGACTGCTTCTCTAACCAGATAACAACTCTAGGTACGACCGTAGGAATTTAATTATCCAATTGCATTAAAGCTAGAAGAACCCAACCCTAACCAATAAACACGCTAAGAAGGTTTATTTAAATTAGATCTTGCGTTTCCCCATCATAAAGCCAATTATGGTGGTTACCACGGGGCGCTAACTAAATGAGCAATTACGGATTCTATTTAATTAACGTGGCAGTAGGCTATTAAATTAAATCAAATACCCGGCCGTTGATATTCAATTAATCAAATACCCATGAACAATTAATTCAGGAAACGCACGAATAGCAATTAATTGGAGGAAATAATGAAGATTCGGTTAGATCTCACAGATATTATGGACCGCGCCTTCGCGTCAACCTTTGGGTAGAGGAGGAAATTAGCCGCTGCTCATCGTGTCAATCCCGCGTGATTTAGTTGAGTACATTCAATTGATTTCCGAAGAATTGGAAAAACACAAGAGGAATCTCACGGAATTTAGAAGAGTCAAAAGCAAACAGTGAAAAAGGGTTTCCGTTGTACAGAGCCCAGATGCAATCCGCAGAAATATTCAATGCCTGGCCACTAGCCGCAGGCGAAACAAAAGTAAAAGAAAGAAACAGGAGAAAGCGTCTGACCCTCACTTTCTTTTGGGAAAAGTAAAACTAAAACTAAGAAAAAGATCATCTCAATCTTGCTTTGTCCTTTTCTTTTTATAGCCGCCGTCCAAGAAGAGTCAAAGAAGGAAACGTCTTGTGCAAAGCCTAGTGTTGTCTCCAGAGTTCTGATCCCACGCTCCGGGTTCACGTGGACCACGGTCCGTCTTTTGGTTTCGTCCACCTTCCAAGGCGTGGCCACACCTTGGAACGGTAAGTCTTCTGGAAATTCACCCCGCGAGATCATTTTTAATGCCGATCACCTATAATTCATACCAATGTGAAATATGAGTTAGACCTCAGTACTTAGCACAGTAAATATCTAAAATTAGACCGAAATAACACTGCAAAATGTGCCAAATAACTGTTCTATCAATTTGGTTGAGATTTGGTGCAAGAATTCGGAGTAGAAAGTGATGGAGCAAGGCTGGTTATTTTCTTTCCCTTGGCCGGCTGTTCTTGGAGTGAGGAAAGGGAGTGTTTGCTCAAATAAAGCTTTCTTAAGAACCTTTAATGTGTGGCTCAAGTTGGTGCAAAAGTCAACTCTTTAATAGTGCGCGTACGCCCGCGTTTTGTACTCGATTCCTCTCGCGTTCATTTCACTAGTGCACTAAACCTTTAATGCACTCATAATCATATTCATATTATTTACTCTTAATTATCCCAAAATAAGGGTCTAAAGTCCCTCAATTATATCGCGCGTGTAAAACGCGTATCTCCAAATTAAGCGCGTTAAAGCGAAACTTCCAAGAAATTCTTATAATAGTGGTACTAATAACTATCACTTGAGTATTTAAACATAAAATACCTATCTTAAGTCCATCCTGCAAGTCTCTAATTTTCCAAGTTTATAGTATTCTCGAATCGATTATTGACCCCAATCGCGTATTCACTATTTTCAATTAACGAGCTTCCAAAAATTAAATTTTGAAACGAGTCACTTTAAAATATAACGAAACTATAATTTCCATGTAATCAGGTCTAAAGTGGTTTAAAAAAAATAATATTCGGATTAAATGGGCAGTTAAATATTTAAATAACTTGAAGTGGAATTTTAAAATAATAAAAATTTTGTAAGATATCACACCATTGAACCGAGCTGTTTCGCTAATTAGATCATTTCTGCAAATGACCCGTTGACTTTTCAACAGCTCAGCGATTCAACCGGATTAAATCAGAAACCCAGCCGGTTTTGTGGACAAACTGGTTTTGAGGAAAAAAAATCTTTCCAAACCTTTGCTTGGATTCGAACCTAAGACATTTAAGTAAGTTTATGATATACTCACCACCAAACCACTTTGTCACATGTTAATTAATTACCATTCTTATACTATATGAACGTTTTGTCAATTTTATCTTTATTTTTTTTATTTCTCCAAAACAAATTTATTTGAAATCTTTTAATAAAAGCTTATGACCCCTAAATTATATAAATTATTAAATAGATTTCAAAAATAACATATTACATAATTTATTTTAAAGACAAATATTATTTTTAATAATTTTTTGCACTTAAAATTTGTAAGTTACCTAGATAATTACACTAAACATATAAAATTTTACACTTGAAATTTGGTGGATTACTAATTAAATTTATGTTTTGCTGATTCTTATATGAATTAAATATTCTATAGCAAATTAAATTAAATGAACATTTGTTATGACATTGTTTATTACAATTTATATCATATATCCTATATCAAAAATTATAAGACATAATATTTAAATATATATTAGTGAACCGCTGGTTCAAACCCAACTCCTTTGAGTAAGTGAGCGATTCAAAGTCTAAGACTTTAGAACAATCAGAAAGGATGAGTGAGGGCAGCGATTAGTCATTACTTGATCACCTTCACTCACTTTCTATACGAGAAATTCGTTTATGGAAAAGATGGTGTAGAGAAATGATGAGATGGTGCTGGGCCCTTTCCCTAGGCGAAAGGACTATGCCCTCCATGAAGGGCACGACCCTTACCTGCTCGCACTCACTTACTCGTCAGAAAGGAAAGCATAACTTCGGACCTTCTGTTGTTAACATCGGCTAGACAGTATAGGCTCTGGCAACTTTCAAAACCTCCAATGAGATTGTCAGTCAGCGGATGGTCCTACTATGACAAAGCTCACGAGGTTTTTTGTATACTTTTTCTGCCCACCGCCCCGGTTCTAAGCCAACCCTTACTTATCTATTGCCATCCGCCACCCATACTCTGGTTCAACCACTCACCCACTCTGATTCAACCATTCACCCACTGGTTGAACCAGTGACCCGTTGACCCACCTCCTTCGCCGGTTTCCTCTCCAAGTCGAGTTTAATAACTATGGTTTGGAAAGATTTTTTTCCTCAAAACTGGTTTGTTCACAAAACCGGCCGGGTTCCCGGTTGAATCGCCGGGCCGTTGAAAAGTCAACGGGTCATTTGTAGAAACGATCTAATTAGCGAACCGACCCGGTTCAATGGCTGGTTCTCCGGGTTGACCGGTCAAACCGCCGGACCGGGCCAAGTTTAATAACTATGATCAATAGTTAAAACTAGCCGAATTTCATAAATTTTCAAATTAGTGGTAGTTTCACTGCTTGTTCCATATCAGAGTTTAGATATCTTATGAATAAAATGTATAGATTCAATTGCCAACAGTTCTCACATCTCAAATTTCTCTATTTTCTTTTTCTTTTCTTTATGTAACATATATGTATTTTAGCTGTTGTGGACCAAATCTCAGGATAATGTATTTATTTGAGTGCAATAAATGAATTAATTTTGGATAATGGAAGGAAGGCCAAGTGAGCCACTACATAATCATAGATCAAAGGCAACAATCTCACTTAAGAGGCAAACAATAACATTTGACCAATTTGGTGTTCCATTTCCTATTCTTTTCCTCCACAGAAGTACAATGATTACTAAATCTTCCGTCTAGAAATAACTCTAAATGATACTTGTCAAGAATTACATCTCAAAAATAGAGATTTTTTTGACCGTAAGTTGCATCATTCCTTTAAAATGCAACATAATAGAGCCCTATCATACATTCAAGTTCCATCATTCTTTTCGATGTCATCCATGCATAACCATCTGATATTTGTTGCATTTTAAACTTTTTTATTTATTAGTTACTTCCAACTTTTTTCAGGTTTTGAATGCCCAACTTCATCTTATATTTCGCTTCATCTTATGACTCCAATTTTCAAAAAGATGATGAGATAATTCTCAATGGTGCAACAATATTTCTATTTGCATCAGAAGCGGAACAATACGATGGCCTTTTTATCAAAGTACTTTGCCGCAACGAAGATATGTCAGGTTGAAAATGAATGTAGGAGCTAATAACAGGTCACCCTCTATGTATATATATTGGAGAATTATCAAATAATAGTTGATAATTTCATGATGACTTTATGAAATCCTTGTGTTATTAAAATTTCCACAAGCATGTGTCAATTAAGGAGTCGTTGGCCATGACACTAGTTATGTTGAGTCATAACATGCGCACTTGCGTTGTGACTGAGAGATTTCAACATTCAACAGAAATCATCCACAGAAAATGCTACGAAAGTGCTCTTGGAGCTATGTAGATTTGCAAAAAAGATTATTCGACCAAAACAAACAAATGTGTATCTACCAATAAGATATGACACCAAGTATTATCCTTAATTCAAGGTTAGAGATGACAAAATTCTACCAGTTTGTTAGCACAACACATTTTTATATTTAATTGATCCTTGGTATGCTAATTTTGCTATAGCATTTGCTATGCCAAACTTTTTAAAAATATATATGTGACTCTGTCCCCTTTAGTAAGTCATAGAAATAAGCAATTAGTAAAAAAACTCATTAAATCTCTTGCTCAAAGCAGAATATGGTAGCGTACTACATTTCTAAAGTTTTTCGATTTTCTTCTACCAACTATCCAATATTATTTAAAATGCAGGACGTTATGGGTGCTATGAACGGCACTCATATCATTGCTTTAGTTTCTACAACTGAGCAAGTGGTCTACAATAATAGGCATGTGATACAATTGCAAAATATTTTAATTATATATGACCATGATATGTGATTTGTTTTTATATATATATATATGCTGAATGGAAGGGTAGCGCACACGATGCACGAGTATTAGAAATTGCACTGAAAATGCACATTGACTTTCCAGTTCCTTCTCTAGGTCCAAATTTAGTACTTATTTCAAATATTTAACATCATCATGCGCTAATTGTTCTATTTCGAAGAGCATAGAGTTAAATAAGTTGCTGTATTTCCTATATGCATGTAGGTAAGTCTATCTTATGGATGCTGCATATAAGATGGTGTCTGGATTTTCAGCATCATTCAAGGGAGGATGTGATACACGAGTTGGACAAGGACGTGAACGAGGCCAAGGGCCGAAGGAGTTATTCAATACTTATTACTCTTATCTTTATAATATAATTGAATGTACTTTCAGTGTTTTGAAGCAATAATTTGCCTATTTGAAAGGGCTAGTTCCATATTCATATATGCAAAAGCATATCAATGTAGTGATAACGTATTGCGCATTTCATAATTTTTCTAAGTGAAAATCAAGTTTCAGATGATCACTTATTGCAGTACGAATAAGAGGACATGCAAGTTGAAGTGAAGGTAGAGTTGGTCCATACCCGCAGATACAACCATTGGTTATGTCCCCGCAGGAGATAGAAACTTGGAAAGTAATGAGAGAAGACATTGTTAATTAAATGTATGCTGCATAACGTAGACGAAGACAGTAGTAAGATGACTTTAATGTCAATATAATACTAGGTAATAACTAAGGAAGTTCTACAGCTTTTACATGAAATTAGGAAGATCAGGACAATGATATTAGTGGCCTTAACAACTTCATAATGTTGACTTATTCTAAGGGGTAGTTTAGTAGTAGGATCTTTTTAATGCCATAAAATAGGAGATGCAATTTACTTCTATTAGTGCACCAAATTGTGGACTGTGTGTTGCTTTAGTCTAGGGGATATTATATGGTGCATTGCATTCGAAGTTGCTATTGTACTGGTGGTATAGCATCAAATGTGATACATGATTGCAGGAATTCTATGTAGTTTTAGGATAGGATAAAGGCATAAAACAAACTCTGCTGCTATGGTGGATCATAAATTCTACCCATGCAAGTTTGTAGATTCAAATGTCGAATTTTTTGGCTACCAAAGCTGCCTTTATTATCAAGTAATGGAGATGAAAAAAGTCTTAACCATGACTTCTCAATATAACCAATGACATTTGCAACTTTTCCCAAAGTAACTGGATGGAGAGATAATTTGAATTAATGAAGTACTTTTTTCTTTGTGCTAAATGATATTCTGGTTAGCTATGTCTAGTGAACGGAAGAACAGCATTAAACGTTTTAGGCTAGTTCTGTGGTTTTTAGATTTGTCGGTGTCACTTGCCATGTCTTCATCATAACAACCAGATCTCACATGAATGGAAAGGCTGCTGCACTAAACATGAGACGGTTGCAAAGTGTAATGGAAATAAACTAAGGAGCAATTCAACTGATGCAGCTACGTGGAACAGCTTACATGGAAATACGTGTTCTTGTGGGCAATCGAATTAGTTTCAACTTATTCTTTGCAATCCAAACGATTTTTTTGTTATTTGAAATGTCTTTTTAATTTAATAAGTATTATGGCAAATAATATTTCAAATAGTTAGATATCCAAACATAATCAATATTTTAGGAACTAAAAATAGTTACTTGGTCAATTACATCCTAGCTATGCCTTGATGGACACCGGTCAATTGCATGTCCGCATTGCTTATAGTGAAAGCAAACTAGATGAAGGCCTGATCAATTGCATGTCCACATTACTTACAATGAATGCAAATTAGAAGGCCTTCACAAATCATGATCAATCTAGGCATAAGGGGTGAGTGCTTACTTTTAATTTATTTCAGCACAAATAAGTATATCACAGACAAACACAATAAACAAATCTAGACCACAGAGGAAGAAATATTTCCTGTACTTGCTCTGAATAATGGCCTTCATTTACTAATTGTGACATAATGGCCTTGAACAACCTCCAAGACCACCTCTCAAAATCCTGTCATAGTCCTCCTTAGAATGAAAAATGACAAGAAAGACATCATTTTCTTGATCAATTATTTCAAAATTGTTGAAGCTCCACAAATGTGTGAGATACCTATCTAGTAGATTATAGTACTAGTTTTCTAAAACTAGGAAGGTAGCCATTTAACTGACTTTATGAGCCAAGAATTAATGGGTTCAATTGAACGAGTTTGGATAAAAAAAATTAGAGAATTGAATGATGCTATAAATATACCTTAGTTATAAATGAATTAAAACAACACCATAACACACTTCTCACTTATGGTATTTTTAAACTTCAAATGAAAATAGATGAAAAAAAGAAGAAAAAAGCGAAAATGGATGAGTTTACAATTAAATTGATAAGACCTATCTGACATAATATAAAATTTAAAATTACAATTAAAATTAAAAGAAAATTCATTAGATCAATAATAATTGTCTAAATGATCCAAAGGTAAAAAATAAATACTAGAAAAGTTTTGAATATTGAACTCAAGTTCAAAGAAATTAAAGGAAAATTAAAAAAGGTGAAAAAAAGTGCATCAAGAAGCAAAAAAAAAAAAAAAGGTCAAAGAAACCGATTTTTCTGAGTCAAACCCGATTTTAATCCTGTCAACTGCTACCCGGTCTCACTAGATGACTCCGACCGGGCAGCTCTAGCCGATCGCTCCGGTCCGAGTTTTTCCCAATGCAACGACCCAAAAGGCAAAGAAAGAAAACTTTCCATAAACTTTCAGACCTGGACTTCTGCTCCATGGTTTCCCCGATTCGGGAAAATTATGCATTTTCCTTTTCACCCCTCTCATTGGCTGGCGTCTGATTCATATCCATAGTTTCTCCATGAGAAAGGGACCTTTTTGCTTTCCCTTTTGCTCCAATTGTCACTAAGATTTGGTTCCCCAAAACCCCACAATTGCATTAGGGTCTAGGTTTTCTGGGTTTTTTTTTCTCCATTCCAGCGGTTGTCTTCATTTCATGCTGCTGGAGAAATGAAGACATCCTAGATTTCTGTGGTGATTGATCAACAAGCAAAGCTGTGAAGATGTCTAGGCAATCAACAACTCCTGCTTTTCACAAGTCCAAGACACTTGACAACAAATATGTAAGAATTCTTTGAATTCCCACACCCTTTTTGTTTACTTTCATGATCCCAATTTTGCTTTTTTGGAGAAAATTCTTACTGAAACTGTTAGATGATCTTTGTTTGGAGAATATTGGGTTTCATGATTCAGTCGGCGCTCGGGATTTTATTGATCAAATTGATCAATGCGCAATCAGTTTTATTGATAAGTTAATCACATTGCACTTCTTTGTGTGTGTGTGTGCGCGCGTGTGTTGGGGGGGGGGGAGGTGTTTGGTTTAACAGTTTAAAGTTTTTGAGCAGTTGGGTTTTGGATTTTAGCAAATTTTCTGGCAAGAATCAATGTGGAAGCCAATGTAGGTTTCATTTTTGTGTTGCATTCATTTGTTTATGCGTTGAATTCTGCTTGGTGAAGATGCTCGGCGATGAGATTGGAAAAGGAGCATATGGGCGAGTATACAAAGGCTTGGACTTGGAGAATGGAGACTTTGTTGCTATTAAGCAAGTCTCTCTGGAGAATATTGCTCAAGAAGACCTGAATATTATCATGGTATACTTAATTACTGCCCCTCATTCTCTGTTTCTTTTGTTTGTGTTTTTTTTTGACTGCTCTTGCGTAAAAGATAGTTTGTTTTGTACGGTTAATCACAAAAAAGGAAAAAAAGGAAGGGTAGAGGAAAAGGGGATAAATAAACTGATCCATGAATTTGGGCAGCATAAATTAAGGAGGATTAGATGGATGACTAGAAATATAATTGGCAGAATTAGCAAAAAAGGCAGGTCTGGGTGCCTAAAGATTAAAGAGGCAGAGTCTTTAAAGGGCATTTCACCTGAATTTTTTTACCTATTATATTACACTGCTAAATGTCCAAAAAAAATGTCCACACGTTGCACAAGAATCAGCAGAAATGCCATTTAGAATAAAAGGTGAAGAACTATGATGCCCTCCATGGCTCCATATGAAATAAGCAAAGCACACCCTTTTAACAATTTTTCCCAGTATGATGTAGGCCAAACCTGTACAGTTTACTATTCGTTGATGGTTGTAAATGGTCGGCCATAAGCATAGTTGTTATAGGTACATAGGCATGCTCTAGTTGCAGAATTTGGAGTGAGTCAAAGGCTTGTGCCTCACAACCATGAAGTGTGAAGATCAAGCATGCCTCTTTCCTGTTGGCCTAAGGTGAAGGCACTTAAGGCGTGCACCTTCTACAAAGCAACTGATACTTTTTATCTTTGCTTTTATTGCTACTTTCAAGTTGTATTGTCCTTATTGCTTGTATGTCGGTCTAACAATTTCCAGAAATTTTCCTCATTGACTCCTTTCTCTAAACTCACAGTAGTCGTAGTTGTATTACCGTGCACTTTTAATCTGTGGGTTTTTTGGTGACTTTGTTTGCGTAATTAAGTTGCTCTGTGAATTTCATTCCCCATGACACGGGATGCGAGTTTGAATAAGCTAAGTTGCTTCTCTCTCTCTCTCTCTCTTCCCCCAAAATTTTTCTGAGTATTATTGCGATTGGAAAGGCATGCTTTGCCTAACTAAACTGATGCAGTCGACAAGGAGCTCTAGCAGTGTGATTTGCAGCAAGAATACATCCATTGAGTGCCTTTATTAGTCACTTTGCTTTAGTTCATTTGGAGGGATAAGAAGTTCTTCACCTTTGCTTAAGTCCATTGAGATTTAGTACTTTCTAGAAATTTAGGTCTGGAGGGATAATTTGGTCATTTACTTGATTGCCGGAAAATTCAAAATCGTCTCATCGAGTCTTTTTAGTTTTGTGTTAGGTTATGAGTTGAACTTGTCACTGTTAAAGGAAGTTATATAGCTACCTTCCTTTCCTATTTAAAATAGGAAATAGGAGTTGTGCATGTTTTAGGAAAGTTTATAGCTTATGAGTGCTTGTCTTCAGATTCTATTGTAGGCAGCGAGATTGATGTATAAAGAGCCCATGCTCTATATGTACTATGTACATATTTTTATGAGGTGCACACCCTATGCCAGGTCCCAATGAATCTGCTTTTGTAAAAAAGCACTAATGAGTAGAGGAACAAAAGAACTACTCATAACAGGTGAAAGATCTGTTTTCCGAGGTTATGATTGGGAAAAGAATTTCAAGGCTCGCATTAGTTGCTTCATATTCCATGCATATATGTACTAGCAGAAATTGGGTGGCGTAGGGGGATTTTCTAGAAATGCTACTTTTGTGTTTTCGTATTTCAATTGTTGATAGAGTATTTTTTTCATATTCGACTCACTAATCTTTTCTTTGCTTTTTGGGTGATATTATTGGTTCGATTTGTCGATGTTGCAGCAAGAGATTGATTTGCTTAAGGTAAAATTTACTTCTTCAGCTTCTTGTGAAATATGTGCACACACAAGTATTTTGTCAAAGTAATTAGATGCCGAATGATAAAGTAACACCTTGCTTGTCTTTTGTGTTTGTTACACATAAGCATTTTGGTTGACTGACAATCTTCCCTGCTGCAAGTTATGAAAGTGCCATCTTTCCATATATTATCAGAAGATGTCCTGGCAACAATGTTTTAAATCAGGCAAATACAAAACGTTTTAAAACCACATCAGGCAACAATACGGAAAATCATTCAGTGGATTCTCCAATAAAATAGCCTGCTCCACTGCATTGTTATCTGCTTTCAAGCTGCTTCCCACATCTATGTCTATCATATGAGTGGAGTTTCACAGTTTTTTGCTTTAACTTTACAGAACTTGAATCACAAAAATATTGTAAAGTACTTGGGATCTTTGAAGACAAAGACTCATCTCCATATTATTCTTGAGTGAGTATGCTTAAGGAATTTTCTCACTGTATTTTTAGGCTATTGTAGATAAATGCTTTTGACCTTTTTTACCCTTTTTGGCAAAGATATGTGGAGAATGGTTCACTTGCCAACATAATCAAGCCCAATAAATTTGGACCCTTTCCAGAGTCTTTGGTTGCTGTTTACATATCTCAGGTTTGAAAGAGAGTTTATACTTAAAACCTTCTTTTACTACGGTTTCAGTTATTACACTCGGCTCATTCATTTGCTAGGTTTTGGAAGGATTAGTGTATCTACATGAACAGGGTGTAATTCATCGGGACATCAAGGGTGCAAATATATTGACAACCAAAGAGGTACTATGGCTGTGTTTCGGCATTTCTCTGCTGTTGCATCTCTTGCTTGCACACCTCTTGTGTTCATTTCTATCTCTGGCTATAGATGGGATGTTTATCTTATTTTGGGACACAGTCACTGGATCCTTTTGTATTTCTCTTTTTGTCTTAAGAAACTCTGTGGTAGTTGTCTTTGTAGGATTTAACCTGTCTTGGTAGAATGCTTAAATGATCTTGTGCTTTTAGGGTCTTGTCAAACTTGCAGACTTTGGAGTTGCAACAAAACTAACAGAGGCTGATGTTAATACACATTCAGTTGTTGGGACTCCATACTGGATGGCTCCTGAGGTACTTCCTAGCTCAATTTTTGGCTTATCTTCTTTTTGTTCTTCACATTAGTGTTTTCTAGTTTCATGGTGTGTGCTTTTTGGCCTTGGTGATCAACCCTTTGTTGGCTCATCGCTTACCAGTTGGTGGGTGTGTGCTATTCTGGGTACCCATTGGGCCCCAGGCTCCGTGTTTCTTTTTATCCTTTTAATTTTTTCTTTTATGCACTCTTTCTTCTTATTCCTCTCTCTCTCTCTCTCTAAAATTACTCCTAAAGCTCAAATGGCCAGCCACCCCCGCCCGTTGGAATTTCCCCAGAATTTTGGTGGCCACTGGTTACTATTTAGCGTTTGTGAGTCTGAGGATGAACAAGAAAAGCTTATTTTGTGAACAAAATGATGTGATATGGGTTGTTGGGCATCCATCAGCATATCTAGCATGGCACCTGTGGCTTGCCAAGGTCCATTTTAAGTCAACCGAACTAATCTATCTACAAATTGGTTGCTCACAGTATTGTGCCGTTATTTTTGTGATGCTGTTTAAAACCTAACTCTCTTGACCATTTGCCATTTCTAATTATTAATGTAATTGTAAATAAATAACGTGGGCGTAGTTATTTTCTTCTGACTTGATGTACACCTGATGATATATCGTGCAAGCAACTTTAAATGGTTATATTACCCATGACTCCTCAGTTTCCAACAATGTAGTCTTATTTTCCTATCCTTTCGGGTATGGGAAATTTTCTTCATCACTCAATGATCTATCATGTTTTAGATCTGCTTTGTGCTGCGTGCTAGATATTGGCAGTAAGCTAGAATTTGTGCAGCAGATTAATAAAAATCTCCTTGAGAACTTTAATGTTGTGTGGTGAAAGGAGCAAATCTGATAAATATAAAGAGAAAGGTCTGAAATGGGCCTTCTGTGTTCTTACAAGGATGCACTGAGTGAAGTATGAAATGATTCTTTGATGGTATGAAGCTTGAGGAGTGCAAGGGCATAAGGGGTAGGAGAAGTTTCTCGGGGACATTAGGGGGTGTTAGAAGTTTTCGAGAGCATATAAAGTCCAAACGACAGGTGTGCTTTTTAAGCAATAGATGCTTTTTTGATGTGATGGATTTTGAAGTATGTAACTTAACCAGGGTAATGAATTTATGCTGTCCGAAGTTGTGATAGTTATATCTAGACTGGGGATTGAAATCTTCATAATAAAATTTTTCAGGTCATTGAAATGTCTGGAGTTTGTGCTGCATCAGACATTTGGAGTGTTGGATGCACTGTTATTGAGCTTCTCACATGTGTACCCCCATATTATGATCTCCAGCCGATGCCTGCTCTCTTTCGAATTGTGCAGGTTAAGCTTTGTCTTATCTCTGTAGTTATTTGTTGCTCTGACAATGAGAAAGCAATGCTTTGACTCTGTAGAACAGGTTTTAGTACTTTGCCAATTTTGGGTTCAGTGGTATTGCTTACTAATTAATATGACCAAGTAAAAACTGTAAGTTTTTCTCCAGAAATTTTTTATGTTGATTTTATTTCTCACCTTTTTCAGGATGACCATCCTCCTATACCAGATAGCTTATCTCCTGCTATTACAGATTTTCTGCAGCAATGCTTTAAGAAGGTGAGATGTAAGAACAACAGTTTTACCCATTGCCCTTGCTACTTTTGAATTTTCCTATCAACAACTGGTTTGACACTAAAGGTTGAAAATTTTTTTAAAATGTCTATATAACATGCTTCAATGATTTTCAATGCTACTAGTTGCTTGTGCTTTGTTATTAAAGGCTAGGTGTCAACATAATTAATGTAGTGAAGGAGTGCATCCCTGTTAAAGCATGTAAAACTGTGTTTAGTACATAGGGAAAAGATTGGCAATTATAGTACGAACCATCAAAAGGAAGCAAGTTGGAGCCTAATTTCTGATTCCACCATGTGACTCAGTGGTAGAATTTGGTGACAAGAGGTGGCTTGCTTATGTAGTGCCTTATTCTGTCTTGGTTTGTGGCACTTTATTTATTTATTGTATTTCTTGATTCCCACCCACATGGTTTGGAGAAATTAATCAGAGGAAACTTGTAGCTGTGGTCCATATGATTTAAGAAGTTTCTTACAATTGTTTAACGCGTTGAACGGAAAGAAAGTTTGCACCTGTGAGCTACCTCAGAAGAGTGAATTTTTGTTATTATGCAATCTTATGACGAATCCCTGCCTCTGACATTAAGGATCATCTGTCAGGATGCTAGACAAAGGCCTGATGCCAAGACATTACTTTCACACCCTTGGATACAAAATTCAAGGCGTGCTTTACAATCATCGCTTCGTCATAGTGGAACAATAAGGTAGATATTTGAATTGTTTTCCCTTGTCTCAATCTGTTCAATGGTCACTGCCTATGCCCAGCAGGCATTCCTGCATAAAATATAACTTGCTTTTATTTAACCTCTATTTCTTTCTTGGCTTTTAAATTTCATAAATGAGGCCTAAGATCTGTATTGGATTCTAGTCCTCTTTTGCTATATGGTCATTTATTAAGGGTTTGTGCAAGACTTATATTTAGTTTTTCGAAACAATCTGGAGCTTCAATTATTAAATCAGAATTTGCTCATGGTCACATCAACCTTGCTACTCCATTCCCCTTATGGAGACAAGGAGGTTACATGTTATTATCAGCCATTTTTTGTTTTTGCTATATAAAAAAATTCATACAATTAATGAGAAACAGCAGTCTTGTATTATTTTAGGCTGCTAGAGGTAAGACCAACAATACCCCGTTGAGGTAAGGACATGACTGTGTTTAAGCTGAGAATAACTGTTTAGGAACTCAAAACTTCTTTTCGGTGAACATGTCGTAGTGTTAGTGTCATTAAATGATATGACACACTCAGACGAGGACATTGACACAATACAGTTGGATAGCGACCACTATACTGGGTGAATGAGTTTGTGGTGACATGCCTTAATGTCACCACAAACTTTTGTGTATGAGTTTGATGAATAAGAAATTTTGTGTATGGATATTAGTTATCTGTGATTTTTTTAGTTGCTTAGTCATGTATGAACTTATATGCCCATTTTTTTTGGGCTCATATGACCTTGTACTTTTCTTGTCTTATCTCTGTGTGTGAGTTTACATAAACTTCTGAGGATGATACTCTAGTACTTGCCCAAAAATGCATGTTCTGGTTACATATGAACTTCATTACTATCTGTCACTGTTAGTCCGGCCCCCTTAGTCACAACTCATATCTGTTAATGACTGAATGTCACAGTGAACACTAAACTCTTTAAATCTGGTGCATTTGGTGTGAAATACATTATGATATGCTTTTACTGTTGTTAAACTTCAGCATAGAAAGAGAAATGGCAGGATGCCCTTTTTAGATTGGAAGAGACTACACTTTGGTTAGATTATGACATAGTAGGAGGTGATTATGTGGAAAATCTTTCTAGCTTTGAGGGATATAGTTCAATGAGAACATAGCTCTAGTTTTGCATCAATCACCGGCGTAAGCTACCTATTCATGTCAATAATTGTACAAATTCTGTAATACCTACTGCTTTTTGGTTAATTTTGCAGGTGTACAGCTCCCATAACCTTACCTAAAGTTTCTAGTAGGACCTTCCTTCTTGTTTTATATATTACATTAACCTCCACTGTCAGCCTTTTTAGAATTTTTTAACCCATAATTAGTAGTTATCATCACCACTGATCTCTTTGCTAACATCTCTGAAATTACAAAATGAACCTTTTGCTGTGATTAACATGTTGTGGATGTTTGTGTAACATGAAGAAAATTACTTAACCTAAAAGAAGAAGGGAGCTCTTGTAATCATATTAAACCTTGTGGGAGGTCGGTGTTATGTGCCCTTTGATATAAAGTTTGTCTATGTTCTGGACATCAGTATGGACCACCAGGATGGAACTTCAACTTATATTTTCTGTAGAAAATTTAAAGGGTTTTTCTTTAGCGTCTTGGTATTGTCCATATGAAACGATTTCTTGCTCTTTTTTCTGTTGTTTTTTTGTTTTGTGCTTTTTTTTTGGCTGCTACCTTGTTATTTTTGTCCAAGTAATACTTGGGTAAATCTGACTCCAATTGGTTGGAGATCTACCCAAAACTTTTCTCTATGATTCTTATTAAGATGAAATGCATTATAAGTAAGTTGCTTACATGGAGCACAAATTTTGCTGTATATCAGAAAATCTGAAATAATGCACAAGTAGGTCCCTGTGCAGGTAACCAAAGTCTTGCAAAAAATTGAGGTTCCATTTGAGCTTCATTTTAGTTCTGATTTGGCAAATATATTTACTGTTTTAAGATTTTAACGCCATTTTACATTAATAGGTAGACAACCACAACTAAATGATGTTAAAAGATAAGGATTTCCCCAGCAAAATATACAGAGACATAAAGACTTAAAATTTCTAAATATATGGTGGTTTACAAAACAAAGCTGGATGGATGTATATGGAGAAAAATTTACTTTCAGCATTGTTGAAAAATTATTTGTAAGACCACTAAATAGTTTATGTTAAGGGTTTCTATAGTACGACAAAATTTTCTTTTAATTGCGCATGAAGTGGTGAGGTAAGAAAAACTAATCAATTAGAGGTGGGTCATAAGCGTGTCTTCATGTGCTTCATGAGTTGAGGAAACTAGAATTGGTTAGTTTTCTGATTTGAAAGCTGTACACCGATTAGATCGGGATGTTTTAGTTTAGCTTTAAATGTCAGGCTGACAAAAGATATGCTTTTGATTCTCTGTAATATGCCTTATTAATTTTTTGCCACTTTTGTTTGGATACAACTTATCTGATTTGCTTTTGCATTCACGCTGTACTCATCATCTTTTTTTTCTAGTGTTGTTTCATTTCATTATTCTATGTGCATTGAGTGGCTCTGAAACAGATCTAATAGTGACATTTCCTTTCAGAAATATAGAGGAAGATGATTCAGATAATGAGGAAATATCAAATGGAGATGATCAGAGCAATGTTGAAGACGTTTCAGCTGAGAAAGTAAAATTTTTTAATATAACTGAACTTTTAGGTGCACGAATTCTTCTTTTCAGTTACTCATAATGCTCTGAAAACATATGGTATAATCAGGTAAACTTAGATATATCCTATTTGATGAAACTTGATGGTCTTTAGGGGTCTAGAAAGGAGTTGCTATCATCAGAAGCTGCTGAGGTTTGTACATCATCAGACAAAGATGGATCTGGTGGTAATCTTTTTGAGGACAGAGCAGATAGTGCTGAAGATGAAGCTGTATCAGATCAAGTCCCTACCTTGGCTATCCATGAAAAGAAGTCCATTGGGAGCCACTCAAGTAGACATGCTGCAGGTGATGAGACTGCTCCTAATTTGAGTGAGCATCAGCCATCCTATCCGGCTGTGCAGGACAAAGTGCTCATGAATGGTGAGCGGGAATCTTCTGAATTAAAAACAAAAGGTGTAGTGTCTGAAAAGCTTGAGGATATCGAAAATAGTGTAAATGGCAGGCATGATTCATTTGCATTTGGAGTAAAGAGCCAGGATTCTAATTCACGCAAGGTAAAGCTGATCCAGCTGCTGTTTGTGTCTCCATACTTGTAGAGTAAATACATTTTTTTGCGCTTTTGTTGGGATATACGAACATCATTGTCATCTTTTTGTTGTATGAGCTAAGGTATTAAGGAGGCACATATCATTAATTACTTTTTACCGGAAGAATGGAGAGAAGATATTACTGGAGAAGCAAAAGTTATTTCTCCATCCTGGAATAGGAGTTCTATTTTAACCCACATCACCCGTAGCCAGCCCCTAACAAAAGGGGAAAAAAATTGAACTAATAGAAAGGAGTTCAAATGTTGCCTTCTGCAGAGACCGGCTAATTTGTCATCGGAAGTGGCTGGCTATTTTTCTTGCTTTCTCTTCTTGTTTACACATTAACTCGATTAACAGCTTTTAGATATGTGGTTGTGTCTAGAGATGAGAAAATTTCAGGCAATCTCCCTCGTAAGTTTGATCTTAACAGGAAACTATAAGAAAATATGACATGCTGTGATTGTGCCTCCAAATTAGGTAGGTTTCAGCACCAATCGATAGTTCATTTTGTAAGGTTTTGGCACTATGAAAAAGCTTCCCTAGTGTGACTGCAAGATCGGCAACTTCTCAAATGTGGATCTTTCTTGTTTTGCTATATAGAAAAATTTCTCTTAGGTTCCGTTTGATAAAACTGAATCTGAATTCTGAATTCTGAATTCTGAAATCTGAGTACTGAAATAATTAATTTGCTGAATTTTAAGCACTGAAAAAAATATATGAATGTCTGAATTTTAATGCTAAATCTATTTATACTGTTTGATAAATATTTATAGCTGAATGCTTAATAAGTTTAATTTGATAATTTTGCCCTTATATCCGTTCACTCAAAAAAGAAATAGAATCTATGATTTAATTAGTTTAAAATTGTTAGGTATGAAAATGACAATATTTATTTTTAAATCAAATTAATATAAAAGATGAAATACATTATATGAGGAATATGGAGAAGATGTGAAAGTCATTAAAAAGGGAGAAAAGAGAAACTAAAAATCGTTAGATAGAGAATATTATGTTGTTTAATTAGATAAGAATTTTGAACATAATTAACAAACCAGGGTAGATTTGGTAGATAAGATAAGGTAGTTGAAGTAATTCTATTGATTCTTATCAGAATTAAGCATTTAGTTAGGATTCTTGTGCTGAAAAAAATACACACAGGTACACACAGGTTCAGCACTGCTTAACAAGTTCAACAAATAGATTTTCATTTATCAAACACTCAAAACATCTGAATGTCTGAAAAATTCAGATTCAGCACTTTTTTATGTTATCATACAGACCCTTATACATTACATGGTTCAAATTCTTTTGTCATCTACCTCTGCCTTTTCCTTGGGAGGAAGTCTTACTGCAGACTTAAGGGATACCATTGGACACTTAATTTTTCCATAAAGCAAATTGTTGTTGACCTTTTGGGCCTCATTTACATGTGTGTATACATCTATAGGTTCTATCCACTGCTAAAATTCTCAAGTGTGTGTTTCTGTCATCAGTTTATCAATAAGTCAGGGCCTTGGATCTAATTGTTTAAGTATCAGACTCTGTTCAACAAGTCAGAGACCTTGTATCTAATTTCTGAAATATCAGACTCCGTTGAACGAATTTTGTGTTACTGCTTTAATTCTGAGTAATGTTTGACCTTGTTAGCCCTGGGGTTCCTCCCACAATTACTGCAAAACACTGAACCCCATTACGACAGGCTCCATTCCTATCCTTCTCATAACAACCAAAATCAGGATCAAGTATGCTAACAATTGGCTTAAAATTTCGCAAATAGAATAGAGGGCAACATGGATGCTGAAGTTTGGGAATCCCAAGATAAACTTCAAGACTCTTAATTTCTTTCTTTAGTTCTGAGGAACTTGTGCAAACAAAGGTTTGTTAAACATTCTTGGACTTCTAATGTGATTAGCTGCCTATGATAACATGCTAGTGGTGGTGGAGGGTTCAAGGAGGTAGATGTTTAAAGTGTGGTATATGTCTGGAATTGGAACCCCCCCCCCCCTTTTTAGCGCAGTGAGTGTGAAGTGGAGTGGGGGTAGATATAAGAAAAGTTGGAAAAGGTGCTAGTGGATTTTCAAAGAGTGCCTGAAGGTAGCGAATAGCCAGCATAGATAAAAGCTCAACCTGAGTAGATTTAGTGACACTCCTGGAGACGCCTCCTTGGATGATTTGTTTCATCCACTTGAAAGGAATCTTGGGGATCGTTCGGCTGAAGCCTCAACATCTGCATCTTCATCAAATGTAAATCAAACTAATGTTGACTCTGGCAAGAATGATCTAGCAACAAAATTACGAGCTACCATTGCGCAAAAAATGGAGAATGAAACTGGGCAGGCAAATGGTGGTGATCTGCTTCGTCTGATGATGGGTGTTCTCAAAGACGATGCTATTGACATGGATGGTTTGGTATGATTTAGCTATCATGTATTTGCCTGGATGTTTTAGTACCTGTTCCTGAAGCACTTGTTTCTCGTAAATTTGCATGCCAGGGTTTTGATGATAAGTTGCCAGCAGAAAATCTTTTTCACCTTCAGGTACTGTAAAATTACTCGTCCTACTAATCTGTGCTTAATGTCTTCTGTTTTTAGTGTTTCTGGCTGATTCTGAACTCATTAGGATCTATATGGTACTGCCATTGCATAATTTCCGTTGTTATGGGAAAGAAGTTGGTTGGAAAATTGTGTTATCAGCTGGTGGATGTCTGAAATTGATTATAAAACAATCTGTTTTACCAATTGTGAAAGAAGTTGGTAAAAATAGTGAGATCAGTTGGCAGATATGTGAAATTGATTCTTAAAAGCCTATTTGCCCTACTGCCAATTTCTCACCTATATCAGTGAACCAGTGACTACATTTATGTTAAATCTGGGGCACTTGGGTATGGTGTCGTCAGATTTAAACATAGTGCTACTTAATATCAGGTTGGTCAACTTTGATATGTTTGACCAATAGGTCCAATTTTTGCCAGTGACAAGTGGAACAATTTAATAAGCTAATGAGAAAAGAAAGAATAAGATTTCCTTTTAACAAGAAATGCTAATTGGGTTCAAGGTGAAACTATTGAATTCTCAAATATGAGAACAGTTTGTTATATAAAGCTTGTTTTTGTATCTTAAAATTAAATCTATGATGTTGAATTCTTTAGGGCCCAAGGATTCTATTTCAATTATAATTGCAAACTGTTTCTTTTCTACGGCGATAAATGCTTGTGGTCTGAAATTGTTATTGGAATTTCTTTTGGATATTTTTCAGATTCTGAGTTTGTGATGGTGTTGGGGGTCAAGAAATTAGTCGATCAATTCTAGGACTTCTTAAAGACCTATGGACATAGACTTCTAATTGTAGCAATTAACAATATGCTGTTTGAGTTTTTTTTTTTTGAATTATTTTGGGGGTGTAATTCTCTTGTTGACCTCCAATTCCTGCCTTGACTCTGTCTCTGCTTGTTATCTCGTAATATGAATTTCTGGAATGTCTACCCCGTTCTGCTGTACCTACTTGAATGAAAACGTAATCGTGGTGTCCTCTTTTGTTACTTGTTACCACTTCCATTGGAAAGAAAAAGGAAACCAAAAAAAGAAAAAACGAAAAAAAGGTTTAAATGCCTGTGAAGCTACTCTAGTGACTTGTTCTTTATTGAGATTTTTATTTATGCATGTTGCATTTGAATAGTTTAGGTTGACTTAAATTTGGTATTTATCTGTCAATCTTCCCACCACCTGCCACTATACCCAAAAAAATTGGAGTGTGATAAAGGCGGCAGCTTATTTGGTTGCTTCTCTCTGTAGGCTGTAGAGTTCAGCAGGTTAGTGTTGTCATTGAGGCCAGAGGAACCAGAAGATGATGTTGTAGCTGCTTGTCAGAAGTTGACTGCTTTCTTTCACCAAAGGCCTGAGCAGAAAATTGTCTTTGTAACTCAGCATGGTTTACTTCCTCTGATAGAGTTACTTGAAGTTCCAAGAACTCGCGTACGTTCTTTTTCTTTTTTTCTATAATTCTGTGCTATATGTTTTACAATACACTCTCTTTCAGAAGATAAATCATGAGATGTTGTAAAGTATCTTTTGACTTGCAATTTCAGGTAATATGTTCCGTGCTGCAACTTCTAAACCAGATAATCAAAGATAACAGTGACTTTCAGGAGAATGCTTGTCTTGTGGGTCTTGTAAGTACTTATACTGTTCCCTGTAACATGTTTTACTTTAAGAATAATCAACTTTAGTAAACTAGTATTGTATAATACTTACTGATGCAATAATGACTGCAATGAAATGGCCTGAAACAGATTTCACGGGCCTCATAAATCAGTGGATTTTATACTCTTTACATTGAAATTTTATCTTCCTTTGAGTGGCTGGTAGCATATATAGACCTGTAGCTATTTGCGAAACTGATACTGTTAAACTGGTGGTTTTTGTAAGTCTCTGTTTGCTTCCAGGAAACCAGTGAGTAAAAGGAAACATATCCCTGCAAAAAGTTTTCTCACGTTTGGTTGTGGAAGAAACTCTCAAGGAAAGGATTTGAAGGAAATTGTTGTTTTTCCCTCTTTAGATTTCTTTACTAAAATGTGAGGAAATGGTGGAAAGTGATTAGAATTTGGGTTACATGCAGATTATAAGGTGTGTTGGAAATGTAAATCGGGTCATAAAATCTAACTAGAAATTAAAAAAAAAAAGGAAAAATCGAAGATAGAGAGAGAAGAAGAGAGACAAGGTTGGTTCCCAGGTGCTAGGGGCTGGGAATCAATGCTCCAAATGGCTTGTTCCCACCCAGATTGGCCACCATAGTTCAATAGAACAGTGGCTGCTGCAGAGAGGCTAAGACTGGTGCCTGGAACAATGAAGAAGGAAGAACCTTGATATTTTCAGTTTTGACCCAAACATTCAGGTCCATGTAGTTAATCCCATAAGAGTTTTTCTTTACTACATTACTTTCTTAACTTTTAGAGTGATCTCACATTTTAAAGATTCAACACTATCAATTACTAATATTTCCTCAAAACAATTTGAAGTAAGAGATTATCACTTTTATGTACTTATTAACATTTCTAAAAATTTGTAATTAAGAAGGTTCAGTTTTCAAAAAAGATGCTGATTAAGCCAAATAAGTGGTTATCTTTTTGTTCAACACTTTTCCTTTTCCTTTTGGATTATGCACAATCCAAACTAAGAAAAAGAAAATTGACGTGGTAGGATTTATTTTCTCTTTCACCTTTGCAAGTACGGTAGTGAAGTTTTGAATGAGGTCGTCAAAATGGTTTTTGTTGGGAAATTGAGAATTTGAAAAGAATTTTGCCAACTCATTTCAATTGGTTATGTCCAGTAATTGTTAATTTGAAAGAGAAAAAAGAAATAAAGAGTGTGTTTGGATTGCTGAATTATTTCAGATAATATCTCTCTTGCATCATAAACACATTTCCCAATCCACCTTTTTTATATTTTCAACTACCTTTTTGTCTCACATACATAACATCCCAAAAAATGCTACACTAATTATTCCAAATAATATCTCACATGCTCTTTAACATCCCAACAAATGCTACCTTTCAAAGATTTTTTCTTTTTTGGATTTCCTTTTCAAGATCTGCAAACCATACGGAAACTTACTTTTTAGGAAATCAATTTCCTTTACTAGATTGCTCCGTAACCAAACAAGGTCAGGACTTTGGAATTTTGAAGAAATTTACTTTCTTCCTCCATTTCTTTTTCTCACTAGGCTCAGGGTCAAACAGTGTCTAATAGATTGACAAATGCTCGTGTGGATGCCAGGTTCCTCAACCACTTCTTTCAGTTGCTTGACAATCGTCTTCTTCATCACGAGTCTATAGTCACTGACTGTAATGCCTCTCTTAACCAGTTTAACCTGAACATAAGCACTAGTCAGAATAATATTCAACATTTTTCACTCCCTTGTAGAGATACATGCTGTATGACATCCTAACCTATTGATTATTGAATTTAAAAATTTCTATTTACTTCTTTTTGAAGATATGGAGAGAGGAAAGCAAAGTCTTGAGGGGGATAAATTTATTCCAATCTACTTGGAGATGTCTAGAGACTTGAATTTTGATTTGAACATGGATTTACTGTTGAAATATATTGACAGATCCCTGTTGTAATGAGCTTTGCTGTTCCTGATCGTCCTCGGGAAGTTCGTATGGAAGCAGCTTATTTTCTGCAGCAACTGTGCCAGTCCAGGTAAAATTTTCCATGCTGTTTCTTTTGTTGGTGACTTGGTAATTTGAATGAAATCTAAGCGTTTTATTTTGTGCAGCTCCTTGACATTGCAAATGTTTATTGCTTGCCGTGGGATTCCAATTCTTGTGGGCTTTCTGGAGGCGGATTATGCAAAATATAGGTGTGTACTTAGTTTTCTGTAAGAAAGCAAACACTGTGATTTTCATCTTTAGCAAGTTTCTTTGACATTGATTAATATAAGGTTGAGCCTGGTAATGGTAAGGTTGCTTCAAAGGGTAACCTTTCTACCTGCAAGGAATAGTTTGTGACTCTACTTGAGACTTGCTGTGATGGGAGCCTTCTGAACTGGATTTTCTCTTTTTATCATGATACGCTCCCAGGGATTCTGGCATTAATCTACGGAAAGTTTTTGTTAAAGGATAAGTTTTATTATGAATCCTGGAAGCATGGCCAGAGAATATGCTTCTCTAGACCAGTTTATGGCAATTGAAATCAGTTTATTCTGCATAGTAAAGTGAAGTACGTAAGTTGAAGGAACAAGAAGCCCTGTTGGAGAATAATAATAATTGGGTTAATCTGATGGATAAAATAAAGATAAGATAATCTGATGGTGACTTGGACAGGCATTCATAAGTATACCATGAACACCTTTTTCTCACTAAGTGACCTTGTTTTTGTTGGGATTCTAGAAATTAAATTTAGTAGAATGTGAATCCAATGAGAGTCCCTGTTTCTTTTTGGAATAAAAAATCTGACCAAACAAATTCATAAAATATGATAAAAAGAATATCTGATGACTAGCGTACAGGGAAGTAATAAGAACTCATAAAAGGATACTGGTGCATGATCAAATAAATACATATGTACAGTTAGTATAATAAATTGTATTGATTGCCCTTAGTTGTCCATGAATGACCAGTTCTATTATTCTGTAGTTGGGACTGGCTGGTTATTCTGCGCTTACATGCCTAAAAATGTGTTTGCAGATTGACAGCATCTCAAAGCTTTTGGTACCAAAAGAAAAAAGTGCTTTTATCTTTTTATTAATTTACGGAAATTGTAAATGGCTTGCCATATGAGGAAAATTGTAATTTACAGTGAGAAAGTACATTCTACAATTTGTAAGTCCGGGACTGGTTTATAAAGTTAATTTTCTTTTCTGCTAATGTGGATGCAATGATTTAGGCTGTTTGAGGGAAACATTATACATGTAAAGCAGGTAGATGTTGCATAAGCAGAAAAAATCAAAAAGCAATTATTTGGCAAATAGCTAAATGATTGGCATTCATATCTTGAACCCTCTTACAAGACTATTTGATGAAGATGATGGTCTATAACCAACATCCCTTACTAACAAATAAGTCCAATGGACTTTTTGATTACATGTAAGTTTGAGCTAGAAAACTATTTCACTCCAGATACAACTAACGAGTAGAATATTAAATAACACATTGATAGGTGACTATGTAATATGAAAAGCTGCATATAAGCAGTGAATCAATATGTTTACTAGACTTTGTAGATTAATGTTCTCAATGCACTCAGAAGAATTCCTTGAGATCCATTGACTTTTTGAACAGTTGATGCTTCACTTCCAATCTTGGGATTACCAACTTTGATTAGACCATTGGTTTTAATATTACACCGGTTACTAATTAATTCTATTTCTTTTCTGTTACATCCTAATCCAGGGAAATGGTTCATCTAGCTATTGATGGCATGTGGCAGGTATTCAAGCTTCAACGCTCAACCCCTCGAAATGATTTCTGTCGCATAGCTGCCAGAAATGGTATATTACTTAGGCTGATCAACACTCTTTATAGTTTAAATGAGGCTACTCGTCTAGCTTCTATATCTGGTGGTGGTGGATTCCCACCAGATGGTTTGGCTCCACGGCCACGTTCTGGTTCGTTGGATCCTTCCTTGTTGCAGAGTGAGGTATCACATTATGGGGTTGATCAACCTGATCACTTTAAACTTAAGCATGGAACATTAGATCATATTTTGCCGGCTGGAACACAGGAAACAGCACGGGCTTCAGTTTCACAATCACCGGATGCCAGATTCTTTACTCTTGATACTGACAGACCGCAGTCAAGCAACACTACACTGGAAGCTTCAGGCAGTTCAAAATTGTCTGATTCAACACCTTTGGACAAAGTAGTCAGTGTGGCAGCAAAAGAATTTCCTGTTGCTAGTTCGAGAGAAAAAGAGAGTACAGATCGATGGAAAAATGATCCTTCCTGTATTGAATTTGATCCAAGGCAGCCGAGAGGTGCTGGTATGGCAAATAGAACATCCACGGATCGGCCAGCAAAAATGACTGAGGGTGCACCAAATGGAATTTTTTCAGCAACTGCTACCCAGCAAGAGAATGTTCGGCCACTTCTAAGTTTACTGGACAAGGAGCCACCATCACGTCATTTTTCTGGTCAGCTTGAGTACGTACGGCATCTGACTGGGCTGGAGAAACATGAAAGCATACTACCTCTTCTACATGCATCCAATGAAAAAAAATCAAACGGGTTAGAGTTTTTGATGGCTGAATTTGCAGGTACTGGAATTAGTCTTTAAAAAAAAAGAAAAAGAAAACTAACAGTAATAAATTAACTTGGTACCAAAATCTGCTCTCTCGTTGGGAAAATCCAAGAAGGAAAGTACCTGAAATTACTTGGATAAGTTGCTGTATGTTATCCTTCCTTGGCAACTTTTGGTGATCAGACATATTTACATAATCATTGAGGACTATTATAAATTCCTTGTCAAGCAGTGCCATTCATTTATTACATCTAGCTGCAATCTGAATATGCACTGGCCGTTTTAGTTCATGCATATGATCTTATAATTTTTATCTTACATTTTATTGAACTTTGCATATTTGAATGTAGATGTAATTATTGCAAGGCGCATTGCCGCATTGCAGTTCTCAACTTGTACTCCATGAAATCCAAAGTAGTAATTCTAATTGTATTTAATCACTTATGGTGAAAACATTCGAAACCAGATTGTAGGGGAAGAATTTGAATATTAAGCTATAGACAGAAACTATGAACAATTAGTTTTAGCTATGTTACCTATGGACTCTTACTTGTGCTGCCGTACATGTCTGATTAACATTGCAGTAGAGTGGCTGTGTTGGTGGGACTCCCATACCCTAATCCAGTTAGAATTTGTTTTTTGGTGCTGTCAAATCTATTACAATGATCTCATTTTCAAGGAAAACGGTTAAATGCTCTTGGAAGATTGGCTTTAACAGTGAATTTATGTTCTGGAGGTGCTCCTAAGCATGAAGATCTCAAGCATATTAATTTCATTCCAGGACCTTGTGTATGCCCCATGACCCAAGGCACCCGTCAACCCAAAAGAGAAAAGCTATAAAAAATGGAAAAAGCAGCTTGAGAGATTTATCTTCTTTTGGTTTTTAACTGACTACATAATGCTTCATTTTGAAGGAAAGCTTCTGATGTTTTCTTTCTTTGTTTTTCTTTATTTTTTTATTTGACTGTGATCTCCATTATTTGACATTTGTAAAGCTTTTCTGTGAAGCATTTTTTTTAGGGTAAAATACAGCAAACCTCCTTGTAGTTTGTGAGATGGTCAAAAAACCTCCCTATCATTTAAAAGCACCCATTGAACCTCCTTATACTATGGACTAATCTGGAATTTGGATGAAAAACATCCAAATTAATGGAGAGTGTGTCAGACTCGCCTAATACGTGAGTAAGATTGATCACATTGATTTTTCTGCATAAAAACCGATTTCTTCTTCCAATTGTACCCTCCTTTTCTTTCTTTTTTTCACTTTCTTTTGCTTTCCTTCTCCCAAAATCAGAAGGTTGCCTTTTATCCTTTTTTCTTTTCTTTCGTTTCATCTCTTTCCTCTCCCGCAATCAAAACAGAGACTGCAGATGCATCAAAACACCAACGCCCCTCACAAGCACAACCACCGTGACCACCCTTTCTCCTCCTTATATTTATCTTCTGTTGCAGCACCAGGGGATTCTTAAGAAAGTTCATGTCAAACTTTGGCTTCTTCTCCAATAGAACTGTCCTTGCAGCAACACCTTTAATCTCTTAAGTAATTGCCCTTAGCCCATTCTTTGGTAACCAGATTTGATGCCATCACCATTGCCATCGTGGTCACCAACTGATACATAAGGCGGGCAGAAACGCAGATGGATTTGAGATATGAATCAAGGCAGCCTCACAAATTTTCTTTTAATCCACGCAAATATCTGACTTTTTGTGTGTAATTGGTGTCATATAACCATTTTATTGGTCCAAAGGATTGTTTTTATGTAGTAATTTGTTGGGTTTGCTTTGTTTTTGGACTGAAATTAATAGTTTTGCTTATCACTGTTCATGCCTATATTTGTTACTGTTTGCTTGTTTTTGGTCAAATCTGATATCATAATCATGATCTAAGCTGAAATTGGATTTGAGTGTGTAATTTTTGTTAAATTCCACCACTGGTGGTAGCTACTGGCGGCGCTGCTCCCTACCGTCGCTGCCGCAAGATCTGTAAATGATAATAATAGGCAGAGGAGGAGAGAAACTTTGAAAATTTTCACCTTGACTCATAAAGTCTGCTTGTAAACCCACAAAGACGATGATGGATGTGGCGGCAGCAGTAGAAAAATAATGAAACTGCTTTATCACCGGAGAAGATGAAGAATGTTTTGAAATTTTAGTTTGGCCCCTCAATTTTTTTCTTAGACAATTCAAGATTTCATGAATTTAGATGAAATCTGAGACCCAATAGTGCTGAAGATGATGATGAAGGTGATGACCACGGTAATCATAGTGATGGCGACGATGGTGGCGATGGCAAGGTGACAATTGCTGGACTGAAGAAAGGAAGAAAAGGAGAAGAAAATGGAGGGGAAAGGAAAACAGAAAAAGGAAAAATAGAACAAAAAGAAAGGCTATGGGTTCTGAAATCTGAACATCATCCCGTTGGAGAAGACAAGAAGTTTTTAGAATTTGTTGAATTAACCCCTGAATTTTACTTTTTTCTTAAATGAAGTAAGAAAGTTTTTAAAATCTTTAAGTAAAACCCAAACTAGCTTTTAGTATAGTTCGAAAACAAGGTTAACATAGGAATTTTGTATTTTTCGTCAAAGTGGATGATTTCCGTTCATTGGCCAAATTAGTCCAAGCCACGAGGGGGCTCTTTGGGAGTTTTTAAACAATGAGGAGGCTTTATGACAATAACCCAAACCACAAGGGAGTTTAGTGTATTTTACCCTTTTTTTTATATGATTGTATTTCGTGTGAGTGGCATCAATTTTTGTTTTTGATATTGCATTCACATTTTATTCTCCTGATGCTTGACTCTTGGGTACAGAGGTTTCTGTGCGTGAAAGGGATAACAGTAACTTGGATTCATTACCCAGAAATTCATACAAATCAGCAAACAAGAAGGTTGGACAACCAGCAACTATTGATGGAATGGCTTCTACGTCAGGACTTGCATCTCAGACTGCATCTGGGGTTCTGTCTGGCTCTGGGGTTCTAAATGCTAGACCAGGGAGTGCTACATCATCAGGGTTGCTTTGTCATATGGTATCACCTTGGAATGCTGATGTTGCCAGGGAATATCTGGAAAAAGTGGCAGATCTTCTTCTTGAGTTTGCTCGGGCAGACACAACTGTGAAATCCCATATGTGCAGCCAGAGTTTGCTTAGTCGTCTCTTCCAGATGTTCAATAAAATAGAGCCCCCTATTCTTGTGAAGGTAGAAGAATGTTTTTATTGGTGGCATGGATTTTGATTTCTACCTGGATCTGTTTATCTGATATTATTATTCTTGCATTACTTAGTTATTGAAGTGCATCAATCAGCTATCAATGGATCCACACTGCTTAGAACAACTTCAGCGAGCAGATGCAATCAAATATTTGATTCCAAATCTTGATCTCAAAGAGGGTCCTCTTGTTTCTCAAATACATCACGAGGTAAGTTCTTTACATTGTGCATGAATGGAACAGTCGTTGCTCCTGAGTTGAGGACCAAGGTTCTGGACAATTTTGAACTAGTAGTGCATGGTTCCTATCTTGTGGACTTGCAACATTAAGTGGATTGAAGTAGTCAGAGGTCTTTGCACTGATAGGGTATATAGTAGGCTATTCTTGAATCTGTTGGATCTTTAATTTGGAAAACTATTGACATTTGCAGTGGACCTAGTACATGTTACTTATTATAGTACATCAAAATTGTTTGCTTGCTGGAAGATATACTTAGCCTGTGCTTTGTTTTCTTTCCTTTTTGTTTTTGATGTGTGTATGTGCGTGCTTTTTTGTGCTTGTGTACTTGCGGGAATGTTATTGGACTCAAGATTAAACTTAAAAAATTGAAACCATTAATTTGTGTGAAAGTACTACTACTAATTGATTTGGTGAAATAACCTTGATTAGGTGCTTCACATGTTAAGTTTGGTAGTAGTGTGATTCCTTAACTTGCATTCATGCAAATCTGTTCATGATTGTGAATAATAGTGCCTTTTTTGTCGCTAATTTGATATGCATATCAACAGGACATTCTGTTTAGCTAGCAAATATAGGCTCCGATTTGATGGAGCTAGTTTCAAGAACATTTTTGGAACACTTCAAATATGCCAACATACCAAGTTTTTGTCTCTGACACATATACTTAGGAAACTGCTACAGGAACTATTTTCTCAAAGCATCTCCCAAAACAATCATTTTTTAGAGGTTTCACATCAAATATGTGAGAATGTGAGCGTGTGAGTCATCGATCATATCTTGTATGAAGTACAGCTGGATGAAAGAGGGTTTACCATTTGTTGCTTCAAATGGTAGGCCTGCTAAGTTATTAGACCTTAGACAGCTTATGTAATGAGGGATAATTGTATCAATCAAGTACCTTTCTTAGGTTTGAGGAGTCTAAATCTTTTCTTCCCTTCTTCCTCTTTTCCTCTATTAGTTCTACTCCCGAAATTCTATTTCATGCACACTGTCAGTAATCAAATTTCTCTCCAATTAGTCAATGTTTGAAGACACCAAATAGCTGCCTCTGAGCCCAACTTTTGAACTAACACAGTATTTCCGCAAGGCTTTACACCCCCTGAATACCACCACGTGCTGATTAAGCTAGTTTTGGTGCTTAAGATTGAATGCCTGCATCGGTTGATCTTAATAAAATTATATCCAGTATTTCTGGTGTCCTCTCTCTCTCTCTCTATATATATATATATATATATATATATATATATATCTATCTATCTGTCTTTTTTTTCCCTTCCCTCTGTTACAAAAGTTGGCAGCACATCACTATCAATGCAGTGAAATATGGTGTTTCAAAGTTAAGTGGAAAAGATTTCTATGCAGCCGAGTCATACTTGTTATTCTGCTTGTAAGGTTCATTGGACAGCCATATAAGGCGCTTAACCGCTGATTTTGTGAATTGAAGGTCCTCCATGCACTCTTCAATCTCTGTAAGATCAATAAGAGGAGACAGGAACAGGCAGCAGAAAATGGGATCATTCCACATTTGATGCAATTTATCATGTCTGATTCACCACTAAAACAATATGCCTTGCCTCTGCTTTGCGATATGGCCCATGCTTCACGTAATTCAAGAGAACAGTTACGGGCTCATGGTGGGTTGGATGTGTACTTGAGCCTGCTAGAAGATGAGCTCTGGTCTGTCACGGCATTGGATTCTATTGCTGTTTGCTTGGCTCATGATAATGACAGCAAGAAGGTCGAACAAGCTTTACTAAAAAAGGATGCTGTGCAGAAACTGGTCAAGTTTTTCGAGAACTGTCCAGAACAGCATTTTCTGCATATACTGGAGCCTTTCTTGAAAATTATAACGTACGTGTTGTCAAATTCATTTTTTAGCATGCTATGTTCACTGGTGATTATGAACTCTGATTTTGTGTCTTAATTGTTTTTCTCGATTGGTTTCTGAGAAGTTTTCGAAAGGTTTCCTGATCGTGCTTTCTTACTAGCTGATGGTGGTTGAGAAGTAGGGTGTTTTCCACATTCTCTACATCAGCATATTTTTCCAAGGACCTGTAAATAAAATGGGTTCTGTAATGGTTTCGCTGTAAAAGTATTACCTGTTGACATTTCCTCACTATACATTTTGTATGCCTTAACCAAGCAGTTAATGTTGAAAATATTCTCTTTGCAAGTAACCTGTCCATAATGTGTGCCAAGTCCTTCTGGGATGACACAGGAGCAAATAATCTAAAAAATTTGCTGCTGAAATGGGTTTAATATCATATTTTAAAATAATCGAGTCAAAATGCTTCACCTTTGATAGAGTTATGAAGTGTCTCATAGTGCCATCTGGCTACAATTGCAATTTGACCTTTGGGATCAGTTTCACTGATTTGTTTTTGATTCAGGAAATCTTCCCGAATAAATACAACTCTTGCTGTTAATGGCTTGACGCCACTGCTGATTTTAAGGCTACACCACCAGGATGCTATAGCCCGGTTGAATCTGCTGAAGCTAATAAAGGTTGGTAATATGACTATTCTTATGCCACAGCTATGAGCTATCTGTGATTTTTTGTTAATAGTTGATATTGTTTGCAGTTGTTTAATATGTTGTTGACCAAGGACTCTGTGTTCTTTGGACACAAAAACTTTCTTGCTAATTTTTATATTGTAGTTTTGAGTAGTCTAAGATATACCACTCAAGCCAGCTGCCGAAGGGAAAGGGAAAAAGATTGATATACCATGTTGGAATAAAAAGAATCGCATTACCTACTTATTTCTTAATATCTCTTTACAACCTCAAACGTGTCATTTTATGGGGCAAGGGACCTCAATGGCTTCCTAGTATTTAATCGCCTGCATTTTACGAGAATAAGAGGTTGAGGAGTCAAAATATTCCAAAGAAAAACCTAAAATAGGAAGAGTGAAGCAAAGCATTTCAAGTTAAAAATTTGCTCATGCATTTGTTGAGTTTTAACCCTTGTCAATTTGCTGCTGCTTTACCTTTTATCTGTGGAAATTCTTTTTTCACTAAATGTAAATTACTGTGTGTGGATATGAACTTTTGCAGTCATTTTATTTCTATAAAAGCTGAAATTATTTATCTGTCCATGCATTGGCTTTTGGAAGATCTCTTCCATTTTCTATGGGCGCTGGTGACTGTCTTGCCTGTGCCTTCAAAGTCTTTTTCAAAGTTTCCTCTACTGTCTTTCGCTTAAAGCTTTTCATGCTTGTTTACTTATACCTGCCTGGAAGTGAATGGAAATTCCTAAACCTATCTGGTTGCGATGAGGAGTTTATTCACCATTTCATGTCAATTGAGGCTATCATAGTGTTTCAACCTTTTCACTTTGTCTATTAATAGAAAGATGATGGGTTGTAATATGTTGGCACTTTGATCAAATTCCTCTGCTCTGCCAATCTTTGGTCTGCTGAAATGAAGATTTTTCTGAAATCCTGATACAGTTTGGTCTATCTGGTGTGTAAATTAAAATGTTAAAATGTTGTACCAATCTAGTTGTATCTCATAAGACTTGTGTAACATATATAGCAACCTGGCCTTAAATGGTATCACTTGGTTTTGTACCTGTGTTGCTTTATATTTGCCACAGTCCTCACTCTGAGCTTTCTCTTCTTAGGCTGTATATGAGCACCACCCTAGACCAAAGCAACTGATTGTGGAGAATGATCTTCCATCCAAGCTTCAGAATTTAATCGAGGAACGTAGAGATGGGCAAAGTTCTGGAGGACAAGTTTTAGTGAAACAGATGGCTACTTCTCTGCTTAAAGCACTTCATATCAATACTGTTTTGTAATTTCAAGTGTTTGACTACTGTCTTAATGCTGTGCATTGTATAGCGTGCAGGGTGTAATTAATTCCAGTATATGCCCCAAATTTTTAATCATTGTTTTTTGGCTTATTTATTTTACAAAATTCTCATGTTGAACTTCTTAAAACACAAGTCCTAGGTATCCTTTTTCGTTTTTCTATTTTAAATATCTTTAAATAGCTGTTTCAGAATGGTGCTTATTAGCCACCATCTCTCTCTTGTAGAAAGCTTTTGATTTAGTGTATGGGCATCTTTGAGTAAATGTAAGTTAATCTCTTTCCTTGGCTTTTCACTGTTTTACAATGTTCCACCTAATACACTATCATGTGATAGTGTAATAGTGTCCTTTCCTCGTATTAAATGTCTAGTACTGCATTTAGACAATATGATGGTTGGGATCCTACTTTTAGCGAACTCTCCAATATTTTCAGAATAAATGAATATGGCTATACACAATCAAATATTTCCTGTTATTAATAAACGTTTATTGTGCCAATTAGAACTAGTAACATATCTGGAATTAGGAATAGTTTGTGCGATGATACTTTTCTGTAATTTGATGGCCAGTTCTGGTAACATCATTGATTATTATCACTTTAGTCCAAGAGTATATTGTTATCCTCCATTTAGTTAATGGGAGGAATTCTAGTTGTTCTGTGCCCTTTCTTTATTTTCTTGGTTTGGTGTTAAAGTTACAACATTTTGTATGTATCACTGCATTGCAAACATGAGAAGTGTCGTTTTCCGGAGAAGTCACTGTTGGTATTTGCATGAAGAAATTTGGGTAAAATATGAGCCTTTTTTGTTAATAAAAGTCACCGTAGGTATTGATTTTTGCAGAAAATTTTTCCTGTACTGGACTTAGTCTATTTCTTGATCAGTCTGATTTATTTCTTCTCATTCTTTTTTTATTTTGTTTTGTGGAAAGAAAGTGGTCTTAGTAATTATAGAATTTAAGGGAAAATGCCCTATCACGTTCAAATTATTACAAAATTGAACTTTTGACTCTCGAATTATTAACTTATAAGTTTTAACCCTCCAACTAATTAAAACATTAATTCTAACTCTTCCGCCAACTTGAGTCGTTATGTCTAACAGGGATTAAGGATTCATGAAATGCTAGCAACCCTCAAATTATTACAAAGTTTAACTTTTGACCTTTCAATTATTAACTGATAAGTTCCTTTCCTTCAACTAATTAAAACGTATAGTTCTACTTTTTTCGTCAACTTAAGTCATAATATCGAATAGAAACATCTATTGATAAAGAATTTGGGATGTGTCCAATTGAGTGTTTGACAAAACAAGAAGGTTTAGATACAATGGTGTAAACTTTAGAAGAATCTTATCATAAAATTGATTATTTGAGAGACTTAGAAAGTTCAAACTTGGAAGGGAACCCAGATTTGTTGGAATATTCCCAAAAAATGAATTGAATGCCAAATATATGTCATTAAGAGAAGCACATAAATCCAATGAATTTGAAACAACACCGAAAAATAAGTTAAATCCCAAATGAAGACAACTCAATTAATTCATGTTGCCTATCCTTGCTGGAATTTTCCTATTTAGGGTTTTGAGTTTTAGATTTTCAATTGATTTAGGTCAAGTTCAACAATTGAAGATTTGGTAAATTAGTTTGTAAGTCCAATTTTACCCTAGCGTGACCTGTGAAAGATGAAAACACCCCTCGATTATGCCCTTACTGCACACATGGTGATGTTTCTATTTGACATAACGATTCAAATTGATGGAAGATTTATAATTATATGTTTTAATTAGTTGGTGGGGTAAAATTTATCAGTTAATAGTTGGAGGGTCAAAAGTTGAACTTTATAATAGTTTGAGGGACACTACTACATATGTCATGCTATTTTTGTTAAACATAACGGCTCAAGTTAACGAAAAGGCTAAAATTTTATGTTTTAATTAATCGGAGGGATAAAACTTATTAGTTAATAGTTAGAGAGTCAAAAGTTAAATTTTATTATAGTTTGAGGGCCACTTGGACATTTCGCACTAGAATTTACAATACCTCGCAGTGGTAGTTGGGTAAGCCTTAAGGGTTGTCTTCTTATATGAAAAGTAAATGAAAAAGATAGTTTTTAGCGGTTTGCATTAGGGTGTTACGTCAGGTTTTCATTTGTAATGATCAAGGGAATAGTAAAGTAGAAGGTGCATTCCTGATCAGGCTTATAAAAAGAATAGAATAGAAGGGGAGGAGGGTAATAGTAGCAGGAGCAGATGGGAGGAAGAGACCAGCCCAATATGGTCTCTAAATCAATCATGAGAGCTCTGGTGTGGAACTGCCAAGGTGCGGGGAGCCCCTTGACAGTTCCCCATTTGAAGGAGGAAAATAGACTTCTCTCCCCAAATTTAATTTTCCTGAGCGAAACAAAAAATAGGAAAAATTACATGGAAAAAGTCAAAAAAATTTTGAAGTTTGAGAACAGCTTTATAGTTGAAGCCATGAATAAAATGGGAGGTATGGCACTTTTTTGGAACAATGAAGTGAAGATATCTGAAGTACTAGGAACAGCTTTCACAATTGAGGCAAAAGTGGAAGACGAGGAGAAGAAGGAAAGCTGGTGGTTCATTGGTATATATGCCAGCTGTGACAGTCTCATAAGAAGGGGGCAGTGGGAAGTAATTAATAGAAGAAAAGCAGGGTGGGGGAAAAATGGATTATCATGGGTGATTTCAATGATATTATCTCCAATGATGAAAGGTGGGGTGGTAGGATGAGGGATAACAGAAGTTTCCAAGATTTTAGGGATTTCATTAATGATAACCAGTTGTTAGATGTGGGCTATGAAGGAAAGCCATGGACTTGGAGTAACAACTGGTATGGGATTGGGGAAGTAAAAGAAAGATTAGACAGGGGATTATGCAGTGCAGAATGATCACAATGTTATGATGAAGCCTATTGCACTCACATTGAATCTCATGCTTCAGACCATAGTATGCTGGTGCTGGAAACCGAGAGAGAAAGAAAGAAAAGGAAAAAAAGGTTCCAATTTGATAAGAGATGGCTGCAGAAAGAAGATATAGAGGGAGTGATTCAGAAGGCATGGAGTATTCCCTGTAATGGAACAAAATGGTTTAAGGTGAAGGAGAAAATAAAAAATTACAGAGTTGAGCTATTGAAATGGAGTAGCGGCAAGAAAGGGAACTCGTTTGAAAAGATTAAATGGTGCAAAAAACGGATTGAGGATATTAAGGCATCGACTTCTGATGATAAAAGACAGCAAGTACAGGATATGAAAAAACAGCTAAAAGTGGCTTATAATGAGGAAGAAGCTTTTTGGAACCAGAAATCTAGAATAAGCTGGTTGAAGGAAGGGGATAAAAATACTCAGTTTTTCCATGCAACTGTGAAGGGGAGAAGGAAAAGGAATAGATTGCATAAGTTAAGAAAGGCGTGTGGTGATTGGACAGCAAATGAGAATGAGCTGGGTAGAGAAGTTGCTAACTACTATGGTGAATTGTTTAAGTCCACGGCAGCTGGGGAGCTTGATGAGATATTAGAAGGGATTCCTATTACTATAACTGAACAAATGAACAAGGAACTGACTAAAAAAGTGGATGAAAATGAGATAAAGAATGCATTCTTCTCTATGGATCCAAATAAGGCTCCTGGTAGTGATGGCATGTCCCCCCTTTTTTTCCAAAAATTCTGGAGCCTTATTAAAGAGGATCTAGTAAATGCAATCCAAGATTTCTTCCATAATGGTGTCATTCTTAAGGCCATAAACCATACTGTTATCTCTCTGATTCCAAAAGTTGAATGTCCCACAGAGATTAACCAGTATAGGCCTATCAGTCTTTGTCAAGTGGTCTACAAAGCTCTAGCAAAAATCCTTGTAAACAGACTCAAGCCTTATCTCAGTAGATGCATTAGTAAAAGTCAGTCTGCATTTGTTCCAGGTAGGTAAATTCTAGACAATGTCATTCTGTCCCATGAATTGATGCATTTTCTCAAAAATAAAAGGCATGGTAGAACGGGATATATGGCTGTCAAACTAGATATGTCTAAGGCCTATGACAGGGTAGAATGGAGATTTTTGAAGGCAATAATGGTGAAAATGGGGTTCTGCTCTACTTGGATAAATTGGATCATATCATGTATCAGCTCAGTTACCTATTCCTTCAACATTAATGGTGAACACAAGGAGTTTATTACACCTTCAAGAGGTATCAGGCAAGGAGATCCTCTATCTCCTTACTTGTTTTTGTTATGTTCAGAAGGACTATCAAGCTTATTACAGAAAGCAAAGTTGGGGAAGGAGTTAACAGGAGTTAAAATCAGCAGGGGGGCGCCAGTCATCACTCACCTATTCTTCGCTGATGATTCCTTGGTGTTCTGCAAAGCTAGCAAACAAGAAGCTGAGAAACTGATTATGATACTTAAAGAGTATGAAGAGGCAACTGGACAGCTTATTAACTTGGAAAAGTCATCAGTGTTCTTTAGTAAAAATACAATGCCAGATGTGAGGGATGAGGTCTGTCAGGCTCTGGGGTCAATTAAACAGGTAGAGCAAGGCAAATACCTTGGACTGCCCATGATTATTACAAAATCAAAGAGCCAGGTGTTTGGATTCATAAGGAACTCTATAGATAAGAAATTGCAAGGATGGAAAAACAAGCTTCTGAGCCAGGCAGGAAAAGAGATTATGCTCAAAGCTGTGGCAATGGCCATGCCTACCTACACAATGTCCTGTTTCAGACTAAATTCGAAGCTGTGCAGAGAAATAAGCTCGAAAATGGCAGACTACTGGTGGGGTGATACTGATGGTAAGAAAAAGCTTCACTGGATAAGCTGGAAGAAGATGACAGAGAAAAAAAGTAAGGGAGGGATGGGGTTCAAAGATCTGCAGTTGTTTAACAAAGCTCTACTGGCTAAACAAGTTTGGAAGCTGATCACGCAACCAAATTTGTTAGTCAGTAAAGTGTTAAAAGGAAAGTACTATCCCAAGCAATCTATTTTCAAATGCAAAGTGCCTCAGAATGCATCTTGGATCTGGCAGAGTTTAGCAGATATCAGAAAGGATATGGAAGCAGGAATTAGGAGGAAAATTGGCAACGGGAAAGGAACCAGAATTTGGTGGGACAACTGGATTCCAGATAGACCTGAAGGAAGACCAACATCAGTTCAACCACAGGGGTGCCATCTGGAGTATGTCTCTGAACTAATCAGGAATAACAGATGGAATAGAGTGCTGGTATTCAAAACTTTCAATCCACAAGATGCTGAGAGAATACTAAGCATACCATTAAGTATGACTGGAA